AACATGCTGGTATTCCATCGAGCAAGCTCTAGTTAAAGCACCCCCACCACCATTTTTAAGCAAAAGAATGCTGATACATGAGATGCAAGAGGATGCTGCCACACTCCAGCAGACTCAATTAATCAAGCAGACTGTATTAACTGAGTCTGCTCTTACATGCTAGAATACCAGTGCATCAGAGTAGCCTCTACACGCATGTATAAGTGCCAGATATTTCACTTCCTTACTTCAGGTCATAGGCCATGCTCCAACTATTACCGACAAAGATGAGACCCGATGTGTTAAAAGCTGCTCCAAATAAAGTTCTGCCCCCCACACCCCCAGGAACACATGTAAAAGTGCCCAACCTGGCCACAAAATGTGTTTTATTATTAATTATGATAATATGGATACTCATGTAAATGTCCAATTCCTTTTATAAATCTTGATAAAATCCGACTCAAGGACTTCTTGTGGCAGACAACTTCCTGAATAAAACTGTATATACAGTGAAAGTGTTTCCTTTTAACATTTTTTAATTTCCAGCATTTTATTTTCACCAATATTCCCTTTGAATTTTGTTACAAGATAAAACACAAGTTCCTAACTTAATTTCTCGACACCATTTATTATAATATGATTTTATCACATCTCATCTCATATATTTGATTGTAATTTCTTATGTCCCTGTATTACTGATTAAAACTTCTAGACTTCTAAACATCTTACAAATAGCCTTTTTTCTTCCTTAACAACATTAATAGAATATTTACAATATACATTTAAGTTTTAAGGAACAGGATCCTCTCACCTTCTCCTTTCAAAAACCAAACTGATTTACAGTAGTTGGAGATACCCAATTAACTCCATTACAACTTGGACTAGTGACAGGTTCATAATCCAATATCTCGCACACACCAGGGCAATAAATAAGTGCTTTATACTACTAAAGCCCTGAAGAACAGAGAACCCCTTTTCCAATGAGATAACAATTTCTACCGCCATAGTAAGTCAGAAGATACACAACCTTAAAAGTCAGAGCATTATAATTTATAGAAAGGCTGCTATTAGAAGCATCTAAAATGCATTAATTTTAATTTCTCTCCACCTCTGAGGTTTGTAAAATTGGTCTTACAGTCCAAGGGACCCTTTATCAACAAAAGGATAGAAAAATATCTAAATAATAGCTCACACGTTTGTAGAGCATTTTTCAATAAAATGTAGAATGATACAGTGCAAAGGTTTTGTCGTCACATCACAGATTAAACGTATATCCCAGATTTCAAAACTTCTGAGTAAAGCTACTATACCAAACTCACTCCAAGATGAGCTTTGTGTTACATGTGGTGGGTGTAATATAAACAAACCTTTCCAACTTAAATCCTTTATCCGATATCTTCTTGAAAAGCAAATGATTGAGGGCCTTGAGAAGGAACTATATTTTAATTATTAGGACATTAATCAACTCTACCTGAAATATGCCTCCAAATAAATATGCCACCAATTTCAAACTGTTTGATCACAACTTCAGTAAATTATCTGAGAAACGTTATTTTGGAGAAAAGAAATAGCTGACTTTTTTTTTTTTTGGAAAAAGGATTTTTAAAAAAAGCCCCAGTACTGTTGTAAAATATTTCACTTGATACAGAAAAATAAGATTTCATTGTAAGAAACCAGGAAATAACAATCAGTATCATGGGCAGATACAGTAAATTGAAAGAGACACCCAAAGAAAATTACTTGCAGAAAATTAAGTCAGTTTGTTTTAAATCCCCATCTAACATTTAAACTGCCATAGAGGGCAAGAGACTCAAATAGGAACTCTGAGAATTCAGCAAGAATTAATTGCATGTGCTTATCTGGAGGCAAAATCTTGGAATTTGGATTTTGTGTGTTAAATACTATGTTTTATCCCTATTACCATTGTAAAAATGACATAGCTGGAATGCATCAGCAATGGACACATTACAAGCAAAGAATCTGCATTTGTTGGCAATACTAAAGCCTAAACAGATTTGAGTTCTCAGTAAAAGCAGTAAGAGAGAAAAAGAAATAAAAAATAGTATTTTACTTGTATATTAAGTACATTCTAATGAATGTGTTCGGTAGACATGCATAGAAACCAGTGAAAGAGAAACGCAGAAACCTCTGTGCTGTTTTAAAAAGTCAACTGTCAGAAAATAAGCACACATTTTTAAAAACGAACAGTATTCAACTAGTTAAACAGTCATTTACCCACTGTGCACAGCCAATATTGGGTAACTTTTCTACCTACACTACAAAATGATAACATAATCCATACTTCTAGTTCCTAACACATTATAATCAAATAGGCCTTTTGAGGAATTATTGCCATCAGCCTCTCAATGTTAAATTTTAATAAGAAGATTTTAAATACAAATATTTCTTCTCAAGGGGCAGTGATGGCAAAAATATAAAAAGGTTTGGGGGTGAGGGGAAAAGAGGAAAACAGGAAGGGGAGAAAGTAGCCAAAGGGCTTTTTCTTACATCATCAACTCTTTTCAACTATCCATGATCATTCATTTTCCCTTTGAGACCATATCCCATAATAGCAGCAGTTTGTATTTTTCCAAGGTTCCACAAGAACTAAGTCACAAAGACAAGACAGGCAGTAATGGATTACCATCTGCACGGTACACCAGATGAGCTGTCACATGCAAGAGGTAATCAACTTTAATAAAAGAATTAATCCTTAGACTATACAGTGTATTGCAGTCAGTAAAGATTAGTATTTGGCAAAATATCCAAGTAGTAATATTATTTTAAGTGACTTATTTATTTGATGATAAAAAGAGAAAGGTTAAAAAGAAAATGCAACCTTAATCCCTTTAATCAACTATAGTTTTTTATTCCAACCTGTGGTCTTAACAGGCAAAATGTGGTAAAGTAAGCCATGCCGCTTTATGAACATAATTATTACATACCATGAGAATACTTTAAATATCAAAATAGTCGATGAACTTAAAACCATATCGTGGACTTAATTCTCCTTCCCATGCTAAGTTGTTCTGAAGGGAGGAAAGTGCAAGGACCTCATGACCTGCTTCCAGTACCGAAGGGTCAGGCGTAACCAACATCCTAGAGCTTAGGAGTTCAAAGGGAAAAAAAAGTGTAGTTCAGCTACCATTCATGCTGAAGAAAGCTTTTAGGTGTGGCAAGAGTGGAACAGCTATGCTGACACAGCACTGGCAATACTTGCTAAACAAGTATGGCAAGAGGTGCCACTCCAACTTTCTCACCAGGACGTCAAAAGTATTATGACTTTAAAAGGAATAGTACCTCTAGGCAGTGCCACTCTTCCCTCCCTACTGCTTAAGCTTTTAAAAACTGCAGTTGAGGCCCACGTTCATACCTCAATATACATTAGAAGTAAATTGATTTATATTTCAATATCAAAAAACACTTTAAAGTTGTGTGAAGTTCAAACTCATCTGAATTAAAACTGACCGACACGCATTTGGAAAAGCATTGTAAATTCCAGTCCAGCACTGAAGAAAACCAAGTAATGGAATAATGGTTAATTCCAAATAAAAAGCAAGACACATGCCAGTTGGTGTCTACTTACAGATAATTTTTCCATCTGTATTTATTCCAGGACTATTTGAATTTCCACCCAATGAATAATTAAGCTAGATAGGGTAATGCTTCCTATCCTAATGCTATCCATAACTACACTGTAACGATCTAAAGAAGATTACTGCCAACAACTATCAGTTCCGTTTCCTAAGAAATTCCCCACAAATTTGCCAATATTGATTCTGTCCTAGCATTATTTTTTTAATCTTCAAATTTAATTTAAAGGAACAAATACACAAAGTAGCTATCAGCTGTGGTAAAAAGGTATTTGGTTTACAGTTGTATACAACTAAACTGAAGCCACAAATTAAACACTTGTTCTTTTCTTTCTGAAGAAACCACCTAGATAACAATGGAATGAAAAGACCAATTAAGAGTGAAAACATGCTAGCAAGACGCACAAAAGATTATAGAGAAAGAAAAGACCTAAATCACTCGATTATATTTTTTGTCACTGCTTTTAAAACTATAGCTTCTGACAAGCAATTAATGAAACAGTGTTTATGTATCTTGGTTTCATTCTTACTTATTCCCTTTGAATATACATGAAATATACCAAATCTGCCTATAGTCCACAATAAAGTTTTCATCTAAAAGAATAAAAGTCCAAAGAAAGTAATACAGGGTCCCTAGAAAAAAAGTTTTGTTGGGGGGTTTTGGTTTGTTTGGGTTTTTTTGCTTCTTAAGTATACATCCAGGTTTGCATAACTATCCACTATTTTGTTCTGGAACATTTAGAAACCAAAATGCCCTTAACCAACAGTAGATGTTAGCAAGAATAAAAAAATTGAAATTAAGCACTTGAAATTAAATAACCAAAATAAAATCAACTATCTTTTCTAAATGATCTAAAACTAAAGCATAAGGAAAGATGAACACAAATTAGAATTCAGTTTTGCTCAGTATATTTTTTACTGAAAGTTAAAGTTCCAGGGTTAATGACACTATTCTGCCATCACTGTAGACCTGACTGCCAGAACTTGAAAGCAACTGACACTATCTTCCTAACCTCAATCTCACATTCCTCAAATATGAAGGAAAACAAGGGAATATCAAACTAGATGCAACTGGTTAAAATACATTTCAAAACTAGCCACCTTTTGTGCTGTTGAGAAGATAAAGATTACAGTAAAACACCTCTTAATATGCACCAAAGATTTAAGGCAGCTGCACGCAAGCAACTTGTTCCAGTAAGTTCTTTACCCTATATCCAGGTATCAAGGATAAAAGAAAGGGAAAGAGAATGAACACAAATGTTCCTCAGTAGGCTTCCTGGTTAGGTCCTATAATCTCTTTATTATTCAACCTTAGCCTTCTACATTCCAGGAACAAATTTTGACCATATTTTTAAAATGAAATATTGACAAGAAGGTGTGACTATTAATTAGAGACACCACATAATTAGCAACAACAAATCCACTTACTTTTTTCTCCTTCTCATGATGTTTATCCTGAGAGTGAGAGGAAGAATCACTTAAACTTTGATCATATGACCTATTAGATCCCCGTTTGCTCTTTTTCTAAAAAGAGAAAGTATATTTACGTACGTGAAAAGGAACTATTTTAATGAAGGAAAGGTATAAAGTATTTCAAGTGACAAAATGCCTTACTGCTTGACTCATGAAAAACTAGCAAAAATGACGGACAAAGTCAACAGAACCATCCAAAACACAGCAGAATAAAACCTACTCTTTAATTTAACATTAGAAATTTATAATTTGCAAACATTTTTTCCACCAACAAAGAGCCTGTACACCATCCTTTAACAATAATGACCTATACCAAGATAAGTTGTCAGAAGATGAGAATGTAAACAAAACAAAGATTCTTCTCAAGTAAATATCATGTTAAACCATGGTGCTGACACTGCCATTAATTTTATACGTAGCACGGGAGGAGATGCATACTTGAGGCACGCTTGCTTGCTTCAAGTGCATTGTCAGGAGCCAGCCTGCTGACTTTGTAATTTATCACCCAGATAAATTAGGTGCCTGCAGTTTCTTACCAGTTATGAAACCAAAGTTAAAAAAATAATTTTAAGAATAGTATACAAGGATGTCAGGGCCAAATCTATGTTTTCACTAGTTACAGACACTATTAAGTATATTACTACAATACCTGTAAGTCCTACTCAAGGACCAAGACAACCCCCCTACTTTGCTGTGGTAAAAGTCACCTAAAATTTCTGGAATATCATATTATGACCCAGATGGCTTTATAAATATACTACAGAAAACAATCAATAGCTCTCAATGTTAAAACTACACATGTACTATCATACATAATACGGTAAAATGAAAAAACTACATTTTTCTAGGCATTAGTGACAATTATGGCATCACTTTCAGCCCATCAGAAAACTTCATGTGGCCTACATTCTCTAGCTCTTTTTCCTTTTTTCACAATTGGTCTTTGTGTTGCAGTCTCTAAGTGGAAAATTATAGAGTTAAATAGTAACATTTAAAATATGGTAGATGTGTTTTGTTTTTCATAAAAGAACTACTCATGTAATATCAACATCAATTTATCTCCAATCACATTTACATGAAAGTAGTAATACCAAATTCAATTGCTATATCCATGAATCAAGTCAGGGCTCATTCTCACTACTTTAAAAGCTTCATTTATTTTTACTTGAGTCCCAAGTTTAATACACATTGAAGGTAATGCACTTCTGTTTTTCCACAAAATAAGCTTGTTGGGTAAGTCCTATGCCCTGCTGATCTTGATGAATTCACTTTGTGGTAAAACTTGAAGTTTCTTGATTTCACTGTTTTTACCTTGCGATAGCCAACAGGTATTAGTTGCCACAAGACAGAAGTCTCAACATTTTTTGCAGCAAGACCTTTAGCAGTGAATTTAAACAGGTTAATATTTTTCTGAACACACACATACATACCATACATGCACATACACTGAACATTAACAGGTATGTAGAACTAGCAAATCAGTGACTGGAAGGGGTAATGACTCAAAGAGCCCAATCCAAAATCCACTGAAAACAAATGCAGTGTTTTCCACTGATTTCAGAGAAATTTGAATCAGCCCTGAAAGAATTCCCTTGATGTAGGACAAAAGCAAACAGCCAGGGGCTTCAGCTGGCTGTTAGAGCAACTGGAACAATGCTAAAAGAAGAACAGAAGGAAGAGAGAAGGAACTGGGGACTAATGCATCTTTCACTACACGGGTGCCAAAAGGAAAGATTTCTTAGGTACTTCCAAAAGAAAATCCACGTCTGGTGGCCAACTAATCAAATTAGAAGAAGGAAACGTTACAGGAACTTAATACAATAAGAAAGTCATTTTGAATAATTAAAGTCTATTACCAAGTTTAAAAAAAAAAGACATCTGTCTAAACAGGATCCCTATTTTTCTCTGACAGAGATAATATATTTCAAAGTAGCCATTTATAATACTGTAATCCATTCAGGTAGTATTTTATAATCATTAATTTAATGAAGAACAAACACTTTTCATGCTTTGTCTAATTTTTATTCACTTTTTAATATGATGTACACCTTAACCTACATAAAACACTATTTTAAAATGTTATTAGTAACTCAGTCATTGAGTGAAAATTAAAATTGGTGTCATTTCCTTACCAGTTTACTAAAATGGTATTTACAGTAGCCACAGTACTGGACATTATCTGCACCATTGCCCTCTTCTTCACAAAGCAGTCCTGCAAACTGAGCACTGGGGGGGGAAAAAATTAAAAAAAAAGATCAAGATCATTCAAGACAAATTATTTTTTTCAAATGATATTGTATCCAAATGATCTCATTTCCAAAGATATAAGTTACTCTCAAAGTAATGCAGACACCTTTTACAACTCTCTCACTAGCCACTCAAGAAAGGCACACATACTTATACATCTACTTTAAGCCTTTGGGAGCTGCTAGTTGCCAAACATTTGGGGAAGAGAGAAATTCAAGCAACTTAAATGAAACTTCCTTTTCAAAACCTTTCTAAACTAAAGAATAAAAAATTCAATAGACCCCCTGCAGGAAACTATTCAAGAGTCAGACCTGTCCTCTTCTGAGCTGACAATAAAATTACATTAATAAAATTATTTTAAATAAAACCAAAAAGTAATGTAAACCAACAATATATGGCTTGGTTTGTTAAGCTGGACAATGTCAGGTTAATTTAAAAATGAATAAGACTCCTTGCTTGCATTAATAATACCTTACTCTATTAAATTTTAAAATCAAATCTACTTTTCAGCATTTGTACTACCGATTTATCTTATACAATCAACTTGGAACTTGAAAATCAACTATTCAGTTTCATTTTCCACTTCTCTTTCATTAAACTCAGTGATACAATTTTACAGTTAAAATGCTGCAAGGAAATGTGTAAATAAAACCAAAATCCCACACTTTTCAAATTGAAAGAAGAAAACAGTATCTTCTCTTAACATATTATGATCTTATCCTACACTTCCCGCTCCCCCAAATAAATGTATGCCCTTAACAAGTAAAGGCACAAAATATTACTTGGAGCCAAGTTTTACTATGCTCAATTTAACATATTAAAATATTTAGATTGATTCTAATCCCACTTTTCTCTTTTGGAGCTTTTTTTATCAACCCAATGCTCACAAAATTAGCTTTACATCTATTTTGTCAAGCTAGTGCATATTACTGCACATTCCTTCAATTTTACTAATATTATGGGTGTCCCTCTACTCTCAAATGTACGTAATACTAACCCTTTGACTAGGTATCATGCTATGTTGCATGAATCTATTTCACATCAAGTTACAACACACCAAAAAGCGTAAGAATTAAGATGAATATTTTGGGGCTTTTTTCTTTATGGCAGCCTTAAAATTTGAAACTTGGAAGTTGGAGAGGAAAAGAGAGAGAGAGAGAGAGAGAAAGAAAGAGAGAGAGAGAGAGAGAGAGAGGATGACAATGGAAGAGTAATTAGCGGTAGACAATATAACTAAACACTTATGCAAGTGAAAAGCTTTAGACATGCAAGTAGTCCCTGTAAGAGTTTAATGGGTCTACTTGCATGGTTAAAGGTAGTCATGTTTAAATATTTTCAGGGGTAAGTCTATTATTTTTATGATCAAAGAAAACTTAAAATTGACTCTTTGCTGTAATAGAAGGGTGCTTACAGAAAAATGTAAAACTGAAACATTCTGCTCGTTTTTAGCTCAGTACAATTGCACATATATGTTTGATCCTGTCACTGACTATGTATAGAGATGCATAGAGACACATGGAAATCAGGGCCTAACCAGAGTAAATTGTAAGATAAAAGGCCTTAATGTCTTTCCATGAACCATTCAAATATCAAAGTTTGCCCTGAAGAAAGAGAAAAAAAAGCATAATTCCATTTAGATAAGTTAGTAAACGACATTTCCTAGATCTGACAAATATCACACTTGCACTGTAGACTGGCACAAAAAGACAAGTGACAAATGCTGAAACATAATGCTGCACTGTTAAAAGAAGGAAAATGCCAAGGAATTCACATCTAAACAATATGTTACAATACAGTAGGCTTATCTGAATTTAAAAAGCCCCAAATATTTACAATACAAGTTCCAGAACATTTTAGGTTGATTTTATTGAATTTTGTTGTGTATTTTAGCAAGTTATACACAAGTTATCTTTTTGTTCTTGGAACTGGCTCAAGGTAAAAGCTCAAACAAGCTAAATTAAAAGGAGAAACAATTGTTTCTTTCAGACATACACTGAAATATTTCTAGCATCTTATAAAAAGCTGGCTGACATGGACCAATAAAACTTATTTATGAAATGTAGTATTGCCCTACCAAATTTGCCATATTTATGTATATTTACTCCTCCATGAAAAATGGCACATATTGCAATAATACATAAAGCATTAAGCCTTCATTCCCACTTGGCCTACATCTCTACTGAAGTCCCCGCAGCTTGTGTAGACACACTCAAACTAGCTATCTTGGGTACTAGTTTGGATACTGTTAGCTGTACTCATATGAAACAGCATGGGGTAACCACACAGTGATTCACCTGGCCTCTTAAGACAAGTTTGCAGCCCACTCTGAATACCATGTTATCATGACTTAATTGTCTGCAGTACCCAAACAAGTTACCATATTTATTTCAATTATAAGACAATGTTTCCCCACCCCCCATAAGCTTGGTGGAAAAAGCTCTTCATCTTATATTTGCATACCAGCAACCCCCCACTCCTTTAAATACACTGGCTATCATAAAACTGCTGCTAGAAGCAGCATGTGCTCAGTCATGGAAACTGACTATGAAGTTGACTGAATACAACCCATGCTGAGCATGCCCATAAAACATATAGCCCATATTAGGCAAACACACTGATGGGAACCTTTTTGTTTTGTTTTGTTTTTTGTGTGACCCTTAAAAAACGGGCCATTGCTCCCCCAGGAGGGAATGAGCACTACAATACCAGGCCAGCACTCTGGAGGTACTACAATACCTGGTCAGCACTTGGGAGAAGCTAAACACCCTCCCTGGTAGCAAAAAATGCTGATGTGAGAAGTGTGTGAATGTGTATGCCCCTTAAAAAAAAGGCAGTTTCCCCCCAGGGAGGGAATGAACACTGGGCCTAGAGGTACTGCAATACCAGGCCAGCACTGAGGAGAGGCCAGACATCTTCCCCTGGTGGCAAAAAATGCTGACGGCAAAAGTGTAGGTGTGTGCGCAGTTGTTGCCCCAGGGGGGAATAAGCACCCAGCCTGGAGGTACTGCAGTGCCAGGCCAACATCATAAAGGCCAGAGCCAGGCCTGACATCTTCCCCTTGATACCAAAAATGCTAATTTGATTTTTAACCAAAAGGCCTTTTTTTTTTTTTTTTAAAGAATTTTTTCACGTTCCAGGCCAAATCAGTCAAATCAAATCCAAATCCATGAGTCAGTCCAGAACCATAAGTGGCCCTACAACGAGCAAACCTCCTCCAACCCCACCAGGGGCTTCAGATATTTCCAGCATCTTTTGGCAGGCATCCTACATGCAGGCCCCAGCCTGGAGACTTGGGGTTCAGATGCCCCCAAGTTTTGCCTGCCCTTAGCCATATATGGCTGCAGAAGCAATCTAGGGAGGAGCCTCCTATTTCCATAAAATGGGCATTAGGCCCCAACACCTCAGCGGGTACTAAACCAGCCCAGAAGAACAGTTATCCCCAGGAACACTTAAGGAAAACTGCCTTCTTGGACCCAGATACATGGTGTTTCCCCTATCAGGGAAAGGCCAACCAAAAGGATAAGTCAGTACAGCTCAGCTGAATAAGATGCAATGCCCATTGTGTTCAGTACCCCTCAGCACCAACTCTTTTTCAAGTCATGGTAAGCCACTACATCGAATACATTTAAATTTTCCTTTCATTCTCAAAGCTGAGCAGTGCCTTTCTTTCCCATTTCCAATTATTCCTGTTTCTTCACAAACCTTAAATGTCTGGCAAACACTACCAAAATTTTATGCAGCTGAGAGGCTCTGTCACCCCCTCTCTCGGCCTGTCACATGTGATCAAAGTACCCTTCTACGGGGTAGAAGCAGACCAGGCATCCCTGAACTTGATCTGCATATACATTTTGGAGGGTCTGAGAACGTGACATAAGAATATCTAGTTCCAGTCATGAGTGAGCAAGGGGCTAATTAGTATGTGGATACTTTGGGGGGCAGAGGGATGGTACCTGGGGTACACACACACACACACACACA